CGTGTTGTTTCCCTGCCTGCATTGTATACTCAGAGAAGCCGAGGTTGTGACTTGTATTCACTTATGTATTCATTCAACAGATGTACTTATTAGGATGCCCCATGAACACATAGTAAGAACTTGGTGTGTTCCTGGTGATGTGAACAGTAAAAGAATGGGAGTAATTACTTTGAATATATAGATCTTACCAGAGTGGCTACTAAAGGAGGGGTAACCCTTTTGTGTTGTTACTCACTCCTAAAATCCCAAAGCTTGTTCACTGTCGCCTTTGCAGTAGAGGACATCATAGCTGCTTTGGAATCCTCCCTCTGGCGCCTCTCTTGGTACAGAGAATTTCCTTTGAGCACTATGTGAAGGCTCAAATGATCCCAACACTGAGGAGGCTGAGAGTATTACTGTTGAATTCTGGGCTGGCCTGCCCTATCAAGTGAGACCCTGTCACAAAAACCAAAACCAACAATCAAAGATTGCTTGGTGCCTAATTCTCTAATCCCTGCAGATGCAGGAAGGTCTCTGAATTGAGGCCTGTCTGGTTCACATATTGAAACCCTATCTCAACAACAAACAAAAATCACACAAAGACTTTCCTTGCCTTGCATTTATGCTGAGAATCAACTGGTTGGGTCTTAGCTCCTAGTAAGAGGTCAGTGTGATAGAAATGTGTGCTGCAGATGGCCTAGCTCTTTCTTCCTTCAGAACCTTTGCCTGCTTTCTCTCGGGATCACAATTAAGATATCTTGGAGTGCTGGGAATGGAATGGTGCACACCTTTAATCCCAGCACTCCGGGAGGCAGAGACGGGGATCTCTGATTTCGAGGACAGCCAGGGCTACATAGAGAAACACAAGGTGGGGGAGGCAGATAAGAAAGATCTGAAAAAACCAAGAGTCACAGCCATAAATTTTCCTCACAACATGTAAATCTTGTGCTGATTGAGTAAAACAGTTGGGAAAAAGGGAGGAGGGGTGAAAAGGAAAGATCCAGAACTAAATTTAGCCACCACATGATCATGGAAAGAAATAATCTCTTTGATGAAAATCACCGAACAGTGATGAGAGAAAATAAGAGGTCCCCAGATTAGGAAGACATATGTCCACAAATTGTTACAAAGCCTTTAAAACCCCTGATGACAAACAAGTTCAATTCCTGTCAAAATAGCACTGGGGCCTAGAGAGATGATTTAGGGAGTAAGAACATTGACTGCTCTGCAGACAACCCAGGCTAATCCCGTGCTCACATGGTGATTCACAAGTGTAACTCCATACCAAAGGACCTGACACCCTTTTCTGTCCTCCAAATGCACGTGAACATATATGCAGAAAAACATCCCTACACATAACACAAATAAAAATTAAAGACATTCTCTGCAGAGGTAAAGAAAGTACTCCTAAAATTTGGATTGAGCCACAGAGACTTCAGATAGCTAAAGCATTCCTGAGCAGAAGGAACAGAGCTGGGAGCATTGGTAACCTAAGTAACATAGTACTGGCATAAAAATAGACTAATAGAACAGACTAGCGAACACAGAAATAAATGCATATGTTTATGATTAACTAATTTTCAACCAAGGCAGTGAGGAAATACTGTGTACGTGTGTGCATGGGCACACACACACACACACACACACACACACACACACACACACACACACACACTACATTTATCTTTATTAGGAAAACTCCAGAAAATTGTTGCACACACACACACACACACACACACACACACACACACACACACACACACACACACACACACACACTCTACATTTATCTTTATTAGGAAAACTCCAGAAAATTGTTGCTCAAAAGATATAAAATGGGAGCTGAAGAGGTGGTTCAAAAGTTAAAGAGCCTTCTCTGCACTTCCAGGGGACCTGAGTTATATTCTTAGCACCCATGTCCAGCAGTTCACAACTTCCTGTAACTCCAGCTCCAGGGGATTCGATATCCACTTCTGGGCTCTTGTGGCACTGCACTCACATGCAAAACCTCAAAACATAAAATAAAATCTTTTTTTGGTAAGTTTAAAAAAGTGACCACATAGTTACTGATATACCAAACTACCTTTGCTATCTTCATTTCTTTTTCTTTTCTTTCTCTCTCTCTCTCTTTTTTTTTTTTTTCCATTTTTTGGTTTTTCAAGACAGGATTTTCTGGGGCTTTGGGGCAAGTCCTAGACCTGGTCCACACTGTAGACCAGGCTGGCCTCAAACTCTCAGAGATCTGCCCTTCTCTGCCTCCTGAGTGCTGGGATTAAAGATGTGCGCCACCAACGCCCACTCTCTCTTATTTCTTACACTTGGTTTCAGTTTGAATTTTAAAAGCTTCTATCTTGCCATGCTCTCTAGTCTCCTGTAATTTTCATTTCTGCCCACACTTTTCTCACATAGCTGACCCCATTTAACAGAATCACCCCTAAGTGTCAGAATTTCTCTTTATGAATTAGGATTCTCTCTGGCTGTCATGAGCCTTCCCCTACAGAGATAAAAGAATTGTCGTTCTCCCTCCCCCAGGAAAATGCCCTGAATGTCATATGCTGCAAATAGCAATTCTACCTTCTACAAATAATATCACAGAAACTCACCACTGTGTTTTGATATTTTGTTGCCTGTCTTCAGCTGTGCACACCCTGAGGTTTAAGATTGTGGGTGAAATTTTGTACTCAGCCAGTTTCTAGTATCCAGCTTTTATTGTTTCGTTTGATCTCTACCAGCCTGAAGATTCCTGCTACTCAGTATGTAGTTTTTTCTCTTTTTTTTCTTCTTCTAGTTTTTTTTTTTAAGTAATCAGCTACAAATTACAAAGATACCAGACAAATCACAGAGAGAATTTTAGAGCATTTTGTGTTTATTTTGTTCATGCACCAGTATAGTAACCTTTTTCTCAATCCATAGTATGTGTTATTCTTCCAGAATATAAAAATAAAAGAGCTGTGTCAGTCATTAGCAGGCAGTTGTGGAATTGAAAGTTACTTTTGCTACATTGAATAGTAAGAACCAATGAGCCATTACCAAAAATAAACTGGACTTGTAAATTACATGAGCATTTAAGCCAGGTAGCATAAACTTCGATATAGGAGTGTGGATCTTATTCCATAGATTCCAGTATCAAGAAATTTCTCTCTCTCTCTCTCTCTCTCTCTCTCTCTCTCTCTCTCTCTCTCTCTCTCACACACACACACACACACACACACACACAGAGAGAGAGAGAGAGAGAGAGAGAGAGAGAGAGAGAGAGTAAAATATTGTTTAGCCATCAGAACAGAAAGAAATTGTATCATTTCAACACTAGAAACCACTGTTTAAATGAAACTAAATGCAAAAAAATCCTGCATGTTTTCATTTGTATTCATAAGCTAAAAGTTTATCTAAAAGTGGTGACCAGAGGCTAAGCAAGGGAAAGGGCTAGATAATGAAGGGAGGATGGTCAGTGGAAACCAGATACAGAAGAACCAGAGGAACAACTTTTTGCATTACATATGCTATAGTATAGTTGGAGAACTTTGGTTAGCAACAATTAATTGAGTAGAGACATTTTTGAATTTTCCACAGTTTCCCCAAAGAAATGATACATGACTAAGATGATCATTTAAGGCAGTTATTATATGAGAGAGAGAGAGAGAGCGCACCATGCTGCACCACCCTGATGTAAACAATTACTATGTCAGTAAAAACCAATATGTTTGAGGCAAGCATAGGTTACCATATGAGACCTTGTCCAAAAAAAAGAAAAGAAAAAAAACTAACAGAAAAATATTCTATTTAAACTGGGCATAGTTGTACATGCCTGTAATCTCAGCTTTTAGGATATAGATGCAGAAAGAGTGGGAGTCAAGGCCAGCCTCCACTGCATAGCAAATTTGAGCTGGCTATGAAAGTCTCTCCAAAAACAAAAGAAAATAAACCTCAAGGATGGGAGTCTTAATACTTAATCAGATGTCTTCCTCAACTGCTACTGTCAGACTCCTGACTCCACTACTGTATTTCCTCTCCTTCAGGGAGAAAGCTGAAATTGATTGTCTGATTCTGTCCTTCCTCTGTTCTACTTTGCCCTTATAAAAAGGAACCAACAGTGTGAACATACAGATAAATAGAAAGGGTAACAGTTACACCATAAAGCTGTTTCTTTACTCTTTAAAACGAGTGATTCCCCTCTATTATCATCCCCTAGCTTTGGCTCTCAGCAGGTCTAAGGCCACAGTCTTTGAGTTTCTCATCATTCTGATATCTAGGTTCAAAGTCGGGAAATGTGATCCCATTTTCTGCTTCTGGTCCCATTTTGTGTCTACCACATACTGATTTAGAGTTCACCCATTTTATTTCCCAGTGATTCTGTTGAGCCATTTTCTCTCATAGAAGTTACAGTATAGTCCCTAGGTTTGAGTCTTGACCCCACCACTTGTTTTTTTACTTGTGACTAACACCCATTTCATAGGGCATGCGATATGATAGAAGATACTTGCTAACGCCTCCGTATTGTCATTCACTGTTACTCAGGTCTCAACAGTGTGTTACTTGTGTGTTAGTTTCATGACTTATCTGTTACCTGAGGTGCCCAGCGCTATGCCTGCTCACAAGTTCCTTTGGGTGCTTGCTTTGGGTAATATGGCTCACTGGAATAAAGAATGGAACCACAGAAAAACCCTAAAACCCTGGCACAGAGCTGTGGCTGTCCTCCTCGCTTAGAAGCTGAACTCAGATGAACTGCTGGACATGTGAAGTGGCCAGACCTGCAGATCCAAAGCTGGGGTCTCCACGACACAGGGCAACAACAGGCTATCCAAGAGGAGTCCCAGTGAGGGCCCAGTATTGATAGTGTAGCAGAAGCCAGAGGCCTCAACCCAGACCAGTGACTCATTGAACTTACAAGTAAAGATGTATGGACTAAAGGGTATACTGTGTAACCCACTGGGCCACACTACAGCTTCCTCGATGAGATTTTGTTTTGTTTTTGTTGTTTGTCTGCTTGTGGGTTTACTTTTAAATTTTGTTTTGTTTTGGGGGAGGTTGCAAGGGCAGAGGGTAGAAGCAGGGGGAACAGGGAGATGAATAGGATCTGAATGCATGATATAAAATCCACAAAGAATCAATGAAGAGTTTAAAAAAAAAAAGAAAGAAAAGAAAAAGAAAAACCCTTAACCCTTGTGTGGCCTCATGCTATGCTGTTGTTATTATCATCATGACAAACACAATTACAAACCTGTAATTTAAACTAGTTTAAACTAAATATAGCTGGAACACCATGAAGAATTTGTGACTCCTGTTGCAGGGTTAGCTGGGATAAAGAGTTACAATTCAACTCTAGCTCTTTCTCATTTATACTGCGCCCATTTGTTGAAGTCCTTACTATGTTGTTTATTGTATGAAGAGCAAAGATAACAGGAGACTACATAGAACTTCATTTCAGGAACTTACAGATCCTCGCCAGAGCTTGCCAAGCTTTGCAAAAGTTGCACACCCAAATGGAGAATTGCTCAGAAACAGATTGTCACTGTCATGTGCAGTGTTTTTGAGATCTAGAAAGCTGTAATAGATCCAGACTGCTATGCTACTGAGCTCTTAACATGAAAAGTCAGTAGCGACCTTGGCAGCTGGGTGACGCATGTGGGAACAGTGGGAGTGACCCTGGCTGGGAAACAGGAGGCCTGGATATTGTTTCTCTTCTCTGTATCCTGCTCGGCATCACAGGACTCTGAACTCTGAAGCCTGTACAATGGCCTTCCCAGGCCGATCACGCCCGTGCACTATCCCAGAAAATGAAGAAATCCCCCGGACAGTCCTTAACAGTGTCCTCGAGACTAATGGGAACGAAGACGAGAGGGCTGTATCCAAGCTGCAACGCAGGCACAGTGATGTAAAAGTCTACAAGGAATTTTGTGATTTTTATGCGAAATTGTGAGTCTCTCTCCTCCTGGAATGCTGGCTTTCAAATCTCCACCTCTTCAGCTCTGCGTTCCCTAGCCTTTTGGTCCAGCTAATGTGTTTTAATTTAGCACGGTTTTTCCAGGGTGTACTGAGGGTTTGGGGTGGCTCACAGATTGCCTTGTCTTGTAAACTACCAGAGGACGTAATAGATGTCAAGGAAAATGCTACCTTCCTGGGAAGAGTAGCAAGCTCTCATCTTTCTAATAATGGTACATTTTCATTGTGTTATCCATGAGAGAAGTTGGTACTTTATGTTGTCAGGATCTATAACAGGAAAAAAATATACTCTGAAAGTTCTCAAAGATGAAACTAAAATTTTAATTGAGAAACACTTTTCTGGGGAATTATTCCATAGCCAGTATTTGAGGTGACTAGTAAACTCGGGATATTTTGCACACTGTTGTATTTGGAGAGCAGAAAATTTGTTTCACTTGTAGTGATTAATAAGATGTGAGAAATTGGAAAGCTTGATTGTAGTTTCCTGAGCAGCCGACCTGTAGAAGTAGGTCTACAACGTCAATCCCAGCTGGCCAGTCGGACGCTTTCCTAAAGGCTTCCATAGACATACATTCTCCCCATTCCCATAGTTTCTTTATCAGCAACACTTTTTACTGAAAAAAAGTTTCTGGAAAATTAAGCAATTAGATATAACCAATCTAATGATTTGTCTCAAAAAAATAACTTCTATCATATGTTATATTAAATATTGTCAGCTATAAAAAAATGTGAACAGTTCTGGAGAGTCAGGCAAGAGAGGAGCTGAGCATGTAATCCCAACACTTAGGAGGTATGGAGGACCAGGAATTTGAGGCCAGCCTGGGCTACATATGACCCTGACTCAAAAAAAAGAAAAAAAAAATCAACCAGCCAACAAACAAGATAGAGGAAAGGGAAATATGAGGTCAGTCAGGAGGCAAGTGATTGCTGTGTCCTGTTCCTCCTTTGTTACTAAAGAGAGAGAGAGTGTGTGTGTGTGTGTGTGTCTGTCTCACAATATATATATATATATATATATATATATATATATATATATATATTGATCTACCCATTTTACCAGTTCTACTTGAGTATTCAGACATAAAGTCTGGAATGTAGTGAATATGAACAAGTCAGTGGTAAATAGCATTTTTTATTCCAAGGACTTCTTTATGTTGTCTCAGCACAACCACAGAAAGGAGCTGGGGGGTGGGGTTTGATTGCGGCAGCCAGCACATGTCTTTAATCCCAGCAATTGGGAGGCAGAAGCAGGTAGATCTCCTGTGAGCTCAAGGCCAGCCTGGTCTACAGAGCAAGTTCCAGGACCGCCAGAGCTACACAGAGAAACCCTGTCTTAAAAAAACAATTCAAAAACAGGATTGAAATCCAGTACTTGTATGAGAAATTGTATTTATTAATTCACTGAAAAGTAACTCATTGCATGTTGATAATATAAAGAATGTTGTTGCCTTACATTTTTGTACATTTTGTTGATGTTTTTCTTGATGCAAGCTCCTTCCTTACAATTGCTTCTGCAAGAGATGTGGCTGAGAGAAAGCGCTTCAGAATTTCCATACCTTGAGAGTCACTGAGTTAAGTGGTAGTGGATCAGGACATTCCAGAATGTTCTCCAGCTTTTGAGGAAGTCCATTAAAACTGAGGTCTAGCTTGGTGGTGGTGGTGCATGCCTTTGATCCCTCTGTGAGTTTGAGACCAGCCTGATCTACAGAGAGAGAGAGTTCAAGGACAGCCAGGGTGGTTACACAGAGAAATCCTGCTGAGCTTGGGATGTCCTTGAGAGAATTTAGAATAAATTTAGACTTTAGTAGCCTCTTCTGCTTTCCAGAGTGGCTCATCTTTTTATTATGTCATTCTCGAACAGCTTCTGAGAATTATTGAGCAGGTGTGGGCTTAGTGTCCTTCCCCACTCAGTCACTCTTTCTGTAAGAAAAGGGTGTACAAATCTCTCCAGAACTTCATTAAAACTATCACTGTTGATCTGGGATCTTCTCATGTCACATTAATTCTGAGATGGCAAAGTGGAAATCTTGTTTACACAGTGCTTAGGCCAGGTCTATCCAGCAGTGAGGCTGCCTCCTTTCCCTTTTTTCAGTGTTTTTTTTTTGGGGGGGGCACACATGTGGAGGTCAAAGATAACTTGCTGAAGTCAGTTTTGTTCTTCTACTCAAATCCTAAGGCTTGGCAGCAAGCACTATTACTTGCTATGCCATCTCACTGGCCCCATCTTTTCCATTTTTTTTCCTCAGTGACATTCCTATTTTATATTTAGCTTAGTAATTAAAACCGAGTTTTGATTGGTCTGAAATGGTGAGTGTGGGAATTCAACATAGAGTTTCTTATGGCAGGTTACAACATAGAATTGCCTTGAAACATTTTAGGGGCAAAGACAAGTGTAGAATTGTCTGCCATTGGGGTGAGGTGGAGAATAACTACTGCCACTTTTGCTATGGAAATAGCCAAACTTGGAAAGAGGTAGGAGCAAAGCAGCTGGTTAAAGTATCTGTGAAGTTAGTGGCTCTCCACACCATCTGTCTCCTGGCATCAGTAGTGTAGACTGAAGAAATATCGAAAGGTCAGAAGCTCTGCCAGTGGAGCAGACTTGCTTATGGTAGAGGCCTGTGAAAACAAACAAAAAAGCAACTTGTAAAATTATGTAGAATAACTGGGCCAGTGACTGTTCAGCATAGGGAACCTTCTCTATTTCTAAAACTTTCAGAAACAAAATAGTATTTACGTGAAATTCTCACCTGATTCTTTGCCTTTCATACTGCCTTTCATCTGAAGCACCAGTGGTTAGAGAAATTATTCATTTGATTACATCCTGTGTTTTGAGGTGTAGTGGTATTGCTCATGAGGGAACTGTCAAGAGTCACTCAATGCTAGCTACTGTCTGGCTTCATTTTCCTGACCTGCAAAACATGATTGCATACCTACCAGGAACTCTGCAGAGTTTGCAATAAGGATCTGATCTGTGATGGATATGGTTCCCTGTAAGCAGAGAGCCTAGATTCTACGCCTGTGTCACTCATAATCTAAGAAGCTAGTTCAATGGTATTGAATTCATCATCCACCTCTGAACCTATCCCTTTATCTGGAAAAATCATCTTTATAACATAAAATTCTGTGATTTTAAGATACATTTTATAATGCTAGTATTCAGTGTTTTCTTATGTACTGTTTAATAGGACTGAGGCAGCTTGTATAGTTTTCAGAGGTTTTAAGCAGTTGCTTTCAACCGCATCCGGCCAAAGGTATAATTTAAATTGAGGCTATAATATGATATTTAGTTGAATGAAGTTTAGATTTTGTTCTTCAAAAAGAAAGAAACTGACTGACTTTAAGATGTTATCTCACAGAGGGAAGGAGCTAAGAAGCTGTTAGCAATTGATGGTGCCTAGGGGAGGAAGAATCAGTTTTCTTTTGCATTGTGGCTCATTGCAGGTTGCCCTGCTCCAGTGGTTGGTGCTCTACGTTCATGCACGTGTGGCAGCACTGATTGGACTTAGTGTGTTACGAGGAGAGGTGGAGTCATGAAGTTGGGAGGGTGATTATGGAATGGAGAGTCCGGGGGGAGCTGGAGGAGGGGTGCAATATCATCTAAATATTGTATCCATAGCAAAGACATTTTTATTTTAAGTCATTAACATGGACATTTTAATTAAAGTTACTTATCCAGCTATAAGCCTGAGTCCTTGTGGGGAACAATTACTCGTGGATTATTTATTTGAGACAGAGTCATACTGTGGCTCTATGGCCTAGGCTGTTAATGAACTTGTGGGTGCAAGCAACCTTTCTGCCTCTGCCTCCTTAAAGGCTGGAACTACAGGTGTATCCCACTGCATCAGCTAAAGGAACTCTTGGCTTGGATTTGTGTTCTTATTATCTATCATTGTTTACAAAAATGCTAAAAAGGCTAAAGTCAAGCAGAAGCAAAGCAGGGGAAACCCAAGGGCTTTGTTAATGAGACTGCCATTTTAAGTTACAGTATTTGTGAAACCTGATAAAATATGACTTTTTATGTCCAGGTAGAATTTGCTCCTCAGTTCTTGATGTCATCTGGTCTTAAGCCTAATTACAAGTTAGCAATCTGTATCTTGTCCTTTGTGTGTTTTAGCAACATGGCCAATGCCTTGGCCAGCGCTACATGTGAGCGCTGCAAGGGGGGCTTTGCACCTGCGGAGAAGATTGTGAACAGTAATGGTGAGCTGTACCATGAGCAGTGCTTCGTGTGTGCTCAGTGCTTCCAGCAGTTCCCAGAAGGACTCTTCTATGAGGTGGGTCAACTGAGCTACCCTTCTCTTTCAAATTCATTTCCAAAGATTGAATTGAAGTGCCAGGTATTTAGTACCTGGAAGGTCAATGATGAAGTGCATGTGGGACATGGAGGTCACAATCTAAAAAGATCTTGTGCATACCTACCTATATTCATGCCCATCATTCACCTTATTCCAGAATCTACAGTGTCTTGTGACTGTGTCAGACTGAATACTTCTACTCCAAGTACAGAATCCTTTTACAAGGCTTGCAGCAGAAGCATCTCTGGCCTCCCTCAGTGCTTGCCCTACATGGAATCTTCCCATCCCAATCCTGTGTCTTCCTTTATCAGGATATCATTGGACATCCTCCTGAAAGGGAACCTGTGTCACCTACTTCCTGATCTTCAAGCCATACTCTGGAGATTTTAATGCATTTTCTAAAGAGGATCTTGTTTGGAATTGAATATTGCAGGACCCACACTGTGTGCCTTGAGATATTTCTAAACACTTGTTTTTCTCAGTGTCATCAAATGGTCTGTGTTTCCACCATTATTGAAACCCTTTTATCACAGTAAACATGTACTGTGGAGATGGCCTAGGGAGGCTCACCCCCCCTCCCCCGTGTCATGAGTGAAAATGAGAGTGACAACTTTGGCATTTTTTTTTTTTTTGCTACCACACCACTTAGCATATTTGCAAATGTGTGTTTTTGTATGACAATATATAGAATTATGATACAGCTAAAATGTCTGTTCTTTGATTTCTTTTTTAGTTACCATTATTTTTATGTGTATGTGTGTTTTGCCTGCATATATATGTCTGTTTACTTTGTGCATGCCTGGTACCCTTGGAAACCAGAAGAGGTTGTGAGATCCATTGGACCTTTATTTAAAGAATGTTGTGTGCTGCTATGTGGTTATAGAAATTGAACCCAGGTCATCTGCAGGAGCAGCCAGTGTTCTTAACTGCTGAGCCATCCTCCAGCCCCTTTGATTTTTTTCTATCCCTTTTCTCCTACCAAACTTAGATTTTCCTGTCTCCATGATTGAGGAAGGAAAGGTAGTTTATAATGGTCATTACTAAACTAATTATTACACTGAGACATTTTCCTACGCCTCTGGGGAATGAAATTTGCAGGTCAGCCTGGAAAACATCATCTGTCTCCACAGATGCTTAAAAAACCAAACTTCCATTTATGAATTGTCTGTATGTAACTCAAGGAAATAGCATTTAACATATAGTCACAGAATAAAATTTTATTCTTTTTGTCAGGAATGATGGTCTTAGGACTGGGAAGGACAGGAACAGGAGAGGTCAGGGTCCAACTGCAGGAGAAGAGAAGTTGGAGGTAGTTCCCAGGATTTATGGATGGTGGTGGGCGGGCCAAACCTCTGCTGAGTCTGAATGGCTGTGATTGGTACAAAGAAGCACAAGTTGGGCCCCTAGTGGCTGTAACAGCACGGGAGGGAGGGTTGCTCTTAGAACTGCTGTGACTCAATTTAGAAAACTCTAAAGTTGACAAAAGGATCTGAAATCGAAAACTCAACCAGATAATACTGTTGTGATTTTAAGATCTTTATGATGAATTAGGGAAGACATAAGGTAAATATGAAGCTTTTATTACTCATGCCTAGAAGTCAGTACACATAGGTTAGGAAAGTATAGGCAGAGGTAGAGACAGGATCCATGGGTCAAAGCTCCATTGGGTATCAGCATACAAAAGGTCTCCTGTGAAGAGTTGTCACTAGTAGGTTTAAAGCAAGCAGACACAATTTAGGTGACTGTGCTGTGACGTCTGGATCAGTACATTCCATGCTGGGTGTGGGAGTCAGCCCAGCCACACAGTCTGTGTCTAGCTGACCACAAGTAGGAGGTTGTCAGGGACAGTGATGTATGACAGACATCTGGATTGGTAACACTGTGGAGCTGGGAGGCACAAAACTGGAGACAGTTAGGGGGACTGAACCCTACCTCTGGTATGAGAAAGTATAACTTCTGTTCACAGTGGATGTCAAAACAACATGTCATCATAGACATCCATGACAAGTCCCACAGCATACAAAGAGGTCCCAGAAATAATGCGGGATGGCTTAGTCAATAAAGTGCTTACTGTGCAAGCATGAGGACCTGAGTTTGGATCTCCAGCGCTTGTGTAAAAAACCTGGTAGTGGCATATGTCTATAATACCATAGCTAAGGAGGCAGAAACAGGAAGACCCACCTGGGACTTGCTGCCTAGACTCCAGCTGAAATCAGTGAGGTTAAGATTGATGGAGCACCTATCTCCAAAAATAGGATGGACAACCACTAAAGAAGACACTAGACATCAATCTCTGGCCTCCACATGATCACACACACACACACACACACACACACACACACACACACACACACACACACACATTACTGCACACATAACATGCACACAGACAAATAAGTATGTCTAGATACATACATACCAAAAGCAAAAAAAGAGGGAGCACTGGTATTCATAATGTATTAAGGCCCCTTTAATCCCTACCTTCCTTTTCTTTTGAGGCCCTGATAGGTGAAAACATGACAACACAGCAGGTAGCAGTTTGCTGTGTGACAGGTATTAGAACTCGTTTCTGCCCTAGAATCCATACGGGCTTCTTAAGATTAAGGAAATGTTACTGAACAAGCAATTTAGGAAAGAGTCAGAAACTCAGAGGGAAAGGTCAGTTCTAGTCTGCCCAGAACTTTGTCTTCTGCCTGATCTGCCCTCTGAGAGCATCATGGAGCACAGTCCCTCTCCATGCCTTTTCTCTAGTGCTGTCCTTCTGCCTGCCATTTGGGCATTATCTGGCACTATCTTGCTCAGACAGCAATAGCTCCTCCTATGCACCTGCTTGTACATGTGGTCCTATCAGCTGCAAAGCCACTTACGTTTGATCAGAGGGAAAGCTTGGAAACAGCCTTCCACAGAGCAGAATAAAATATGACTCACACTTGTCCTTCTGTCCACTCCTCACTGCTCCTCACTTCTGGGCTATAAATAGCCTCCCTAGTATTATTCCAAAAGATGTTTCAAATCCCAGAGTTGGGCTATATTGGGCTGTTGCCTCTGGGTCCTAAGGAATACAGCTATTTTAGCTACAATGTTTAGGGCTTAAATTCCTTTTAATTGCCAGGGATTAAATCTGCAGGTAGAAAATAAGAGCTTTACTTTTGGTTAAATGACATATTAGAGAAAAGGCTATCGCCATCTAAGAATGTTTGTATGATGAAGCATGCAGGGCAGGACATGTGAGTTGTTGATAGTGTGTGTGCTTGCTTAGCATTCAGGAAGCCCTAGGTTCAATCCCCAGCACTTCAGAAGATAGACAGTCAGGAGAGGGTGTCTTCTCCAGTCCATACCTTTGCTATTGCTTTTATCTTTTGCCAGAGCATCCACCTCCCCTTATTTCCACAGTTCTTACTCTTTCTTTTCCCTTGGACACTAGCTATGAAGACTTACAGATAACCAAGTGTGGTATTGCACACTTGTGATCACATCATTTGGGTAACTGAGGCAGGAGATTTGCAAGTTCAAGGCCAATCTGGTCTGCTTAGTAAGACCTGGGGAGTGGGAGGGGCAAGGAGAGAGGGAGAGGTTTTAGTTACTTGAAAACATGATTGACTTCTCTGTAGAACATTGGGTTAGATGACTAGGATACTCATCCTTCTGGCCACAAAGACGAGTCTGGACCAGACCCCTGTTCACTTCCCATTCACTAGAGCACAAGCATTCTGGTGCATATGTACTTCTCTTAAGCACGGTATAACTGGATATGATTACATACGCTTATAATTCCAGGACTTGGAAGAGGCAGGAGTACCAGGAATTCCCGACATCCACATGGTGGCTCACAACCATCTATAGTTCCAGTGCCATGGGACTTCATGCCCTCTTTTGACCATTTTGAGCACCAGGACCCCATGTGGTGACTAAATATGCATGCAGGCAAAACACCCACAACAGAGAAATCAGCAAACATTTTTGTTTTGGTTTGGTTTTTGGTTTTTCAGACAAGGTTTCTCTTTATAGCAGCCCTGGCTGTCCTGGAACTCCTCTCTGTAGACCAGGCTGTCCTCGAACTCACAGAGATCCATCTGCCTCTATCTCCCAAGTGCTGGGATTAAAGGTGTGTGCCACAACTACTTGGCATAAATAAACATTTTTAAAAGTATTAAACTTTTGTCTCAAGAAAAATAGAACAAAATAGTGGCATAGCAGCCACGAGGAATACTATCCAGATGTGGTCCCACTCATACAGTGACCCTTTCTCCTACTAGATGATAATGGTTAAAACATTATTTTCCATTTAGGTAGAAATCTGTCCCCTATGAAAACTAAGGTGCTTTGCAGCTTTGTTCATCAAAAAGAGCTGAGGTACCCAAGCTGTTTGCCTGGGAGATTTTTTATAAGACATCATTACTGCTGTTAACCAGCCCAGTGCCCTCTGTTTCATTCCACATCTTTTTTGAGTCCACAGAGCACTTTATCCATCTTTACTACGGAGCACTGTTCCCTCTCAGTATGGCTGTTTATTACTACCCTCCTCTTCCCATTTAACTTTGAATACCTCTGGCACAAACTGTCCACATTGATCTGGTATCTGTAACACATGGCTGTAATCCCAGCACTTGGGAAACAGAAGGATCAAGGGCACAAAACCATCCTTGACTACGCAGCAAGTAGAAACCCTGTCTCAAAAAGAAAAGAGAAACCACTGCTAGTTTTCCATTAGATCTCAGTATGTGCAGTCTTCTAATGCATATGAATCATTATTTTATAAGTCTACCAATTCAGACTAATTAAATGCTATTTTCTGAAGGAAATGCCCATTTAAACAGGCTCAAACACCAGCAATTAATGGTTCCTAAGTATAGCTTTGTGATACCTTGGTTATCTCCACTAAAAAGGAGTATTTTTTTTTTTCCTTTAAGTCTTTTTAGAAGTGAACTGAAGTGAACAGTTACAGAGGGATGCAATTCAAACTGGCATAGACTGAACCAGGAAACCAGAGCCTAGGCAGGGGCCTTGTATGCTGCAAATCCAGCCAGCATGCCTAGGGCTGAGTTCTGTTTAAAGCTTCAGACTTTCCTCTCTCATTTGGCTTTCCCAGTGTGTTTCTTTCTCCCCATCACCGACTATATTAACAGGAAAGGCCTGTTGGTAGTGAATGCTGTAATGGAACAATGATTAACAAAGAGTTTCCTCACTCATTTCCTCTAATACTGTATCCTGATTATTCAGGAAGGCAGGGACTGAGAAGACTGAAGGGAGGAAACTCTTAAGCCAGGCTCTCTGCTTATCTACTGACCCACTTGTTTCAGAGCAATTCATGACCAGTGTATAAATCATTAGGTGAACGGCCAGCATCTGTGCATTCCTGAAATAAGGCCATCAGCTAAGTTTCCAATTTTTGGCTTTAAAGCAGCAGCCCCTCCCCCGCCTCTCTGATAGTAATCTTCACAGAACTCCAGAAACTTAGTACACAAAGAAGCAGAGCTGTTGCTGCTGAAGTTCATTGTCTCCCCCACTGAATAATCGCTGTCCCCATGGGTAGAAGGGCCCAGAATTCTTAGGCATTTGCTTAAACAGTTCTAATTTGGAACATAGTATTTCTTACAGGTTTATTATATTCATGTATCAGTGAGAAACGTCCCCTGTGGCCTCCTCTATTTGAACATTTGGTTCCCTGTTGATGGCCCTGTGTGGAGAGGCTGTCGAGTCTTGTGGAGGAAGAACGTCACTGGGAGTGGGCTTTGAGGATTTACCACCTCACCCCACTTCCGTTCTCTCTGTTTCCTGTGTGTGAATGAAAATGTGATCAGCCAGCTTCCTGCTCCTGCCACTAGGTCATGCCTTCCCGGCTATGTTGAACTCTATCCTTCTGGAACTGAAAGTCAAAATAACTAACCCTTTCTTCCTTAATTGCTTTTGGTCAGAGTTTCATCACAGCAACAGAAAGTAACTAATGCAGTCAGTGTATTCCTTGTTTTAAACTCATTGGGGGTTGGGGGTTAGTGTAGTTATCTAAAAGACAGTGTTACTAGAAATTTGATTCTTCAAAATTAATGGTTTCTGAGGGGTTTTTTTTTTTGGTTTTGGTTTTTTTTTTTTTCTTCATTTTATATCCTAGACTTTTACTTTGGATCAACTTCTGGATTCCCAGGCTCTTTTTTTTGTTGTTGTTGTTGTTTTGGTTTTTCGAAACATGGTTTCTCTGTGTAGCTTTGGAGCCTATCCTGGCACTCGCTGTGGAGACCAGGCTGGCCTAGAACTCAGAGATCCACCTGCCTCTGCTTCCCGAGTGCTGGGATTAAAGGCATGTGCCATCAACGCCCGGCAATTCCCAGGCTCTTAATTGAGACATTTTATACTTCATGCTTCTACAGCATATGGAAAAGAGGCAGCTCATTATAGCAGCAAGCTCTTGGAGTAGGAGTGATAGTCCTAATGCTAGGGCTTACACCACCCAGGGGCACAGGACCTGAGATGGGAATGGTTGCAGTGGAATCTGTTCCTTAATCCTTGAACTGTTTGCTGAGGAGGTTTTTGGTTTCTTGTTTAGTTTGGTTTGATTGCTTTTTGCTTTTCAGGGAGGAGCTTTTTGTGGATTTTTTTTTTTTTTGTCAGCTTTGTTTTTTGTTTGGGTGGGTTTGGTTTTGAGATGGGGTCTCACTATGGAGTAGCTCTGTTAGTCTCAAATTCAAAGAGATCTGTCTCTTCTGAGTCCTTCCTGATTTGACTGCTAATATATTTGTATCACAGTAGCACTTGCTTCTCCCACTTTATGAAAGAAAAGAATCCCAATTCCTATTAGAATGACTTGCTTCAAGATACCTCTCAAATGTAATCATTTAGCCTTTAAAGCCTCCCAACTTTTCTTGTTTGTGTTTTTTCTCGATTAGGATGAAGCTTGGCTTGGGGAACCATGTTGGGTGTTCTGTATTCTGGTATGTTGTGAGTCTGGAGTTGTAGAGAGTAGTCTTGACATCATTCCTTTTAAGGTTTTGCCTTGTGCACCCTTGATGAATGTCAACGGCGTCCTTTTTTAAAAGAAGAGTTCCTGTGAAGGACCTGAAAAGATGGCTCTGTGGGCAAAGTACTTGCTTTGCAAGCCTCACAACCTAATTTCAGATCCTCAGAAACTCACATAAAAGCTAGATTCTGGCATGCCCTGAACATTTCTGACCCAAGATGGCTACATATCCTACAGGGGCTGAAGGGGCCCACCCGCAGCTGGGAGCTGCCTGGCATCTCCTTGGGCCAGATCTGCACCAAGAGCTGAGCTGTACTAGAATTTGTGGGCAAGGGAAACAAGCTAGTGACCTATGAGAAAGCGCACGCTCCGTATTACACCACCCAGTGTAGGGCCAGCTGTTATTGTACACAGATAACCTGGATGGAGAAGACCATGCTGCAGTTCAAACAGTGGAGGATTTTTTTTCTACTCAAGATCCTGCTGGGCATCTTTCCAGGTTGCTGGCTAACTAGATTGTTCTGAAGCACCAGACCAACCAAGTGGACATCTGTGCCTTGTTCCTGACACAGCTGTCAGCACACAAATTCTAAGTATTTGTGGGCTACAGTGAGATTCTGCTATCATACTTTTTATTATTATTATTATTATTATTATTATTATTATTATTATTCTCCCCAGGCAGGGCAGGGCCCTCAACAGGGGCTCTGCAGTGTCCACCAAATCCTCCTGTGCTGGTCCTGGGCCCTTCCCCATGTGTCCAGGGCCAGAGTGTATCCCATCACGTGGGATGGGCTTTCAAAGTCCCTTCTTACACCAGGGAAAAATACTAATCCACTACCAGAGGCTCCCTGGAGTGCAGAGGCCTCCTTATTGACATCCATGTTCAGGGGTCTGGATCAGTCTTGTACTGGCCTCCCTGACAGCATCTGGGGTCGATGTGCTCTCCCTTGTTCAGGCCAACTGTTCCTGTGGGTTTCTCCAACCTGGTACAGACCCCTTCGCTCTTCATTCCTCCCTCTCTTCAACTAAATTCCAGATTTCAGCTCAGTGTATTTCTGTGGATGTCTGTCTCTGCTTCCGTCAGCCACTGGATGAGGGCTCTAGTTGCAGATAGGTTGGCAGAAAGCAAGGGAATGCTTTCTAAGGAGTATATTAAGTTTTTGTTTGGGGCTGAGCGTTTGTTTTGTTGAGACAAGGTTTCCCCGTGGCCTAAGACTTACAATCCTCCATCAAATATCTTGGATTACAGGTATGTAAACTATTATGCCTGGCTGTTTAGTTTTCAAATCTGCATTGGTCACTTAAAAATACTGATATTAAGCCAGGCATGCTATTGCACGTCTTTAATCTCAGCACTTAGGAGGCAGAGGCAGGTGGACCTTTGTGAGTGCAAGGTCAGTCTGGTTTACATGGAGTTCCAGGCCAGCCAGGACTACATATTGACCTGTCTCAAAAAGTGAAATAAAATAAAATAACTAAGGGGCTAAAGAGATGACTCAGTGGTTAAGGGCACTGACTGCCCTTCCAGATGGTCCAGACTCAATTCCAGGCACCCACTTGGTGGCTAACAACCATCTATAATTCCAGTTCCAGGAGATCTGATGCTCTCATCTGGCCCTCGTGGACATCAGACACACACGGTGCACGGGCATGCATGCAGACAAAACACCCATACATATAAAATAAAAACAAACAAGTATTTTTAAAATCCTTAAATTTAGAGTATGTACATCAAAAATAATTAAGCACAGTCAGAGGTAAGAGCAGCTATTCACCCTGTACAGTTTCTGTGTGTGGTGTGTGTGTGTGTGCATGTGAGTGCACATGTGTACCTGTTCTGTGTGTGTGTGTGTGTGTGTGTGTGTGTGTGTGTGTGTGTGTGCATGTGAGTGCACATGTGTACCTGTTCTGTGTGTGTGTGTGTGCATGTGAATGCACATATGTACCTGTTCATGTGAAAGTCGAGGTTGTTTTCTTTGATTATTCTCCACTCTATATTTTGAGAGAGTGTTTTTCACTGAACCTAATGTTCATCAGTTAGGCTAGGCTCTCTGGGCAGTGAGC